CCAAGATAAAATTGTATGAAGTAGCTGAACTGATGTGGCCTGTGGTGAACACTATCGCAGCTCAAGGTGCTCTATGAACCAATGCCAGGCACTTTCTCAATCCCTTCAGTGAGATTACTGGAGGGAGGGTACACAAAGGACAAAGAAGAGAAAGCCTGAAAGAAATGAGAGGAAACAGGAGAAAGACAAATCTGAATGAATGGTCTCAAATATTATCAGTTCAATCACAATGTAAAAGTAACTAATACATTTTAAGGTAAAATTGATCTTCCTACAAAGAGTTATTTTTCTTTTAAACAAACAGTAATGACCATGATTTTGGTGCTACAATTCAAAACCTTCATGTAGTGGAATCTTTTCATTCTGTCAGCATTGTAATGGTCCCATGTACTTCTATCCATAGAAAACAGGAAAAGGGATGAGAGTACCTCCTAATTTGTTTATGATAGTAACTGCCATTGGTTGTTACAGTTACTCGACTTATAAAAGAAAATTCATAAACACATTCTAGAAACACGTAAGAAAATATTTATTGGAGCTAAAGAGTTGGTTCAGCAATTAAGAGCACTAGCTGCTCTTCCAAAGGACCTGGGTTCAATTCCTAGCAGCCACGGTGTAGCTCATAACCACCTGTAATGATGAAGCAGCTTGCTTTATCTGACTTTATTTGTATTTCTATATCTGCTTTATTTGGATGCTGTTGCTATGATGACAGTTTGTTTTCTCCTCTCTGAGTGGTACTGGGAACTAAAAGGATGCTCATTAATAAGACCTTTAATTAAAACTAGAAGACCTATCCATCCCACAGATGTACAAGCAAAAACTCAGAAGTGTAAGTCAGATGAAAAAAATAAAGGAGCCTGATTCCCCTAGAAGTTCACGGATTTTTAATAACTGGATCCAAAGATGTTGGAATGGATGGAATGCTTAACAACTCAAAGCTAATGTGAAGAATGAGCAACCTCAATGAGGATTCAAATAAACAGATGATGAAGTACAGAAGTAACTTAAAGATCAGGGCAGAAATTTAACAGCATGGACAAGAAATCAGAAAGGAGATATGAACTCTGAAAGGCAAACTTAGAAATGAAAAGGTCAATAAAAACTCAAACAGAACTCCATGGAGAGCATCACCAATACACTGCCCAGGCAGAAGAGAGAATGTCAAGAACTTACGATGAGGTTATACAAACATTATACTAGATAACAGTCAAGGAAGAACTAAGCAGTCACTGCAAAAAACTAATGGCTGAAAGGTGAAATATTTTTTAAATGAGAGATAAAACTTTCATTACTACTTTAAAAAAAAATCTTGACTTCAAGTATACACTAGAAAAAATTAACACATTCCTGAAAAAAGAAAGCATATTTTGAGAAAAAAATGTATTTAACAAATTCTAGAAAATCCAAATTCTAGAACAAGTCCAGCATCAGAATGAAGAAGGTACTGATAATGGTGGCCATGTCAAGAACGTAGCCTTACCTCACAGCACAGATCAACTCTAGCTGCAAGCTGCTCCTTCAGAGAACAAAGAAACAAAGATATCCAGACACCCACAGATGAAACTGAATGATGAAATGAAAACAAACCCCAAGCTTTTTACTAACGTTAGAGTTTATTCCACTCTGATCAAGAGATACAGGTTAGCCTGGTTAATGCAGATGCAGTATAAGTCTATAAGAATGTAAAGCTTTTCTATGTTATAGGATTTGTAAATCTGTTAAATAACAAAACGGTAAAACAAATTCTCAAGCAGGACTAGTTTTAAAGCATTACATTAAAATATTTTTGATATTTAAAAAAATTTCTCATGTGAAAGATTTCATTTTCTGGACAGTTAAATAATCACGAAGAAAGGAAGGTACTAAGAAATGTGCATCCAAAGCTCCAAAAGGCTCAGGGCAAAGGCGAGTTGAAAAGAAAAGCACCACGATTTCATTTCCTTCTTTGATGTTGCTCTCTAGCAGAGGCCATCTGTCCTTCTGTGGAGTTTCCTGTGCTCTCCCATGCTGGCAACAGGACTTCCCTCCAACAGCAACATCCCCTGCACCTTCAAACATGACATGTTCTCCTTCGGGCTTACTGTATTCCTGCCCAACAATTCCACTTATCCTTTCTCTGTAACTAGCCTGTTCCCAAAATTAATAGGAGAGCCACGTTGCCTTCATTTCACATCTTGTTTCCACCCTTCTAACTGTCCATCCAGGACAGACACCCTCCTCTCTCCATCTCCATCCGCCCCATTATTCTCTGGAGTCCCGGGAAGTAGAGAAAGCTAGAAAGTAGAGAAAGTAGAAAGCTGCTCTTGCCTCTTGGCACCAGCTCCACTACAGTAAGTCCAAAAGGTGCCTGCAGCCTTTGAATTTCATGAGCTCAAGCCTTTAATTCTATAATTAATCTTACCATCTCTTCAAATTTGGCCAGTCTAAAACAAAATTAAGTTTTAAAATAAGTTCCTCTACCTGATAGTCAATTAAGTGGCCAAGTCAATATTTCCATTTCTCAGTCCTTTACTGAGGTCAGTCACTGAACATCCTTTACTCTTCCACAGCTTTTCCTTCCTGCCCTTCCCATTTAGCAGCAGCCACACTAACACATGCTGCAATCTCAACACATAATGGGTAATCAGTCTGCTTTCTTTGTGTTTACTCACATCTAGTATAGCCTTCATAATGTCATTAACAAAATTTGCCTAAAGCATTTTGTTAAAGACTAGGATGAGTGAGAAATGAACAATTTGTTAGCTGGCTGAAACTGCTACAAATCTTCTGAATGATACCTAAATTTTAGTGTAACCTAAGTAACAAAATACAAATACAACAATTCTGGTCAAGAACTCATATTAGCAACAAACTGAGAGCAACTTGGCTTTCCAGTAAAAGCAGAATACTTCAATTTTAGACTCCATATACAAAAGAAAAAGTAATGCTTATAAACTTAGATAAAATTCAAAGCTGTAAGTCACATAGAATTTATCCAATTTTATTTAAATTTTGAATGTTATAAAGTCATATAGAAGAAAAGAAAGATTAGTCAGGTCAAATATCTCTTAGGTGGTGTGTAGAGAATCAGAAGTGTTTCAAATTTGGAATATTTTCATAAACTTTATCAACAGAGTACATCTAATCCAAAAATCAAAAATTCAAAATGTTCTAAATTCTTAAATATTTTGAGTGCCAGTGATACTCAAAGATTCCATTTGGAGAATATTTAGATTTTAGATTTTCAGAGAGATTTCAGGGCCTCACCTGTATAACAATGTTAATCTCTGTGCTAACATTTTGTGACAACTTCATTCCTCTGATTTTCATATCTTTAAAATTTTAAATTCTTTTTATTCTTACAGTGCTGGGATATAAATTCTTAAGTGGCAAAAGCATAATGAAAATCATTTGAAATCCTTTTTAATGTCCTCAAAGCAAATGAACAGTGTATATGAAAAATAGAATATGAAAGGAGAGAGAAAACCTCCAGGCCTTGTTATAACCTGAAATCCAAAAGGAAGCTTCTCAGCCAGCATGACAGGGCACACCTTTATCTCAACACTTGCCATGCAGAGGCAGAAAGGTTACCCAGGAGTTTGAGACCAGCCTCAGCTACACAGTGAGTTCTAGGCCAGCCAAAGCCACATAATGAGACTGTCTCAAAGAGAAAATGAAAACAGTAAAGTCTCAACTTCACACCTAATACAGTCCAGCCTATCAACACTAACTACCCAATCCTTAGGTAATAATAACTAGGAACAATCCCATACAACCAGTTTGGTTCACTTACACCAACAAAGCTTTTTCACATTTATTGTTGCCTTAAATTCCTCCTGCCCACCTCTGCAAACACTTCCACCTTTGTGAGAAGGGCCATCAGGCAGAAAAGGAATGTCAAGGAGTCCTCCGACACCTCTGTTTCACAGGTGCCGTCTGGGCACATAAACACCAGTATGCAGACATCCCCTGGAGTAAGTGGCTCTTTATAAATGACATGGCCCTACAAGGCAGCTGCTCACAGACTGTCGCTGCAGACCTGTCCCCTTCCTAACTTCTAGGTAAAGCGAGCCCTACTCCTTACCCACCCACGGTAGCTGCCAAGATCTCCAGCTTGCCTTGCCTATCATTCAGGGCTCCTTTTCCCTCTTGGACTCCAATTAATCATCCTCAAATTCCCTTCTGGGTCAATTCTTAAATTCTTTATCTACTAAACCAAGAACCTGGGAAAGAAACCTATGTCCATGGTGACATTTGTACATGAAAATCTCTGTCCATCATGGCAATTCATTCATGAAGCTTCCTTGAGTTTTTCTTTTTTTTTTAATCTGAATGACTTTCTACATGTTCTTATTCTCTTCTTTGCCCTCTACCACAGCACATTCACAAGCCACATAACAACATCATGAACAACAAAGCACTTGTAAAATGATGCTTCCATATTATAGCACTGAAAAATTCTCATCAGTAAAGTGATATCACAGGCACCATACCTTTCATTCACCTCTTTACAAAAAAAAGGAAGGAAGGAAAGAAAACAAAGACTTTTTTTTTAAGTTGTCCTATTAAGCCATCAGTGCCCTCATACATCTTGCTTTACTACACCTCTCTTGATAAGGTCATGAGGGTGACACTCAGTGGTTAACCTACACAATCTAGGTTCATGTACACACAGCGAGGAAATCACCGATGATATGGAATGTAGGATGCTAAGTGACATGCAACCCTACTCTACTTTGTGTATAATTTAGTTTGGTATTTTTGTGATATATCATCTTCAATTACTATTTAGCTATTTTATGTGCCTGACTTATTTCATCAACAAGAAAGTTGGCCAAGGACACTTTACATTTCTTTGGAATATTCTCTTTACTTAAAATTCTTTCAGGGCCAAAACAGTAATAAATGTTTAATAACCGATGTTCACTGAATAGAGTTAAATTAGTTAAGATATTTTCTATACACAGTATGACTCTGCCACATTGATATGCATATTAAAAAAAAAAAACTGGTTTTACCCCAAGATTCCAACTATTCAGGCGAGCATCAATGTCACTCTCATCCAAAGAAATTGGAGACTTTTTTGAATGAATTTCCTGAAATACAAAATTAAACAAGGTTAGAAGAAAGGAGAAAAATAAATTAAAGAGGGAACAATGGAAGAAACAAAGGAGAAAGGAGGAAGGAAAAATGGGGGAGGGGGAATAAGAGCAAGAAAAGAAAACAAGACAAAATATAAGTCATTCAAAGTAACGAGTGTTTGTGTACTTACTTGGTGATGTGGTCTTGCCCACAGAGGACAACTAAACTAGTCTCTAACTAATGACTGTTTAGTACAGATGCTTAAGGCAATGAGATGCCTTAACAATATATTCACAAAGTAACCAGATTTCAAAAAAAATCAAAAGAATTTTTCAAAAATTAATCCAGACTCTTCTCTTTAAGCTTCTTCCACAAAGAGTTTTAATTGTGGTGTACCACAGTAGCTTGAAAGCAGGGGGGAACTTAAAAAGATGAATTATTTACTCTCCTTAAAATTAGTTAACAGAGAAGTTTTGTGTTGATGGCCAAGAAACTCTTTGTTCTTAAATTAATTCTCACTAATACACTGTATAAAAAGAGAAATAAACTCGAGACTTGCATCATGAAAATGCAATTATGTGATTCTACTTTCCTCCTGTATAATTCATAGTATTACACATTTATCAACCACATTAAAACTAATCAACTAAAGACAGCCTAGGAGCTATGCAGAGAAATGACCAATGATCTGACAGCTGTAGGTGCAGCCGAATAGAGTAACAACTGTTTTTACAGACCTGACACTTTCTTCTGAGCTAGGCTCTATTGCCAGGACATGCTTCCGCTTTGGGAGCACCTGGCTGCTAAACACTGGGCGGATCTACCCATGACATTTACACTGAAACACAGCAATGAAAACAAGCACTGTCTGACACTCTACTGATTTCCCCTGTTCAATTAAACAAGGAGTTTCTATTCTTTCTACCTTTAACAATTTGAGATGACTTCCACTGGTGGCCCCTTCCTTTTATGTGCCTTTTTGTGAACTTATGATTTTCCTTGTAACTCAAAGTCACATAACCCAAGACAGCCAGCATTAGGTAATAATGACTACACACAAGAACATTTTCTCCCTTTACACAGTTTATTCAAATCAGTCTATGATAAGCACACTGATTTGAGAGGCATTTGTATCTGAATATATAAACAGTTTATCTTTAGTTTAAAAAGCATTTATTTCATCACTATAAATTAATTCACTTCTTAATTTTATGATCACTAGGAATCTAATCACTCAATTACTGAACTGAGTAAAGGAGAAAATGAATGAAAAATAGGATGTTTCAGCATCACTTTCTGGTGCTCAGGAGAAATGATAGGCTGGCCAGTATTGTTCAGCATCAGTGAGCAAGCAGAATCACAATGCTCTTTTGGACATCAATAACATCCACCAGAACTTGCACACTTCATTTTTTAACTTCAGACTTTAAATACTAATTGGAACTTTAACAATTTGAAACAAACTGTGGGATTCTTTTTAAAAACATAGAACCAATAGAAGTAAAAATCTGATCTTACGCAGATCTTTGAAGGAATATGTTGTCTGTCTTCTCGATAAGTTGGACTCATGGAATGGGACCTCGTTCGAAGCTTTTCAGTGCACTGTTCTCTACTGAGACACCAAAATAGTAACTGTTAAACTATGGAGAACTCAGAAGACAGAGAATACCCAAAGCTAGCATTGCCTACCATTATAAATGAGATGATAGTTCATATTAATGTTGATTCACTCAACAGAAGAAAAACATTCATGTAACAAATGAATAACCATTTGTACTTCTCATATTTTATTTCACTTACATTAAATGATAAGTAAAATGTCACATAAAGGCCATATATTTCCTTAAAAACAAATACTATTTTCAAGTGAGATTCTAACCACATGTATTTTAATCATTTCTTTTCCTTTCCTTTTCCCAAGTGTTAAGGAAAGAGAAAATGAAATGTACATTCTTAAAGAAGCATTGTCTTTAGGTTAGCAAATTTTGTTACATTCAAAATGAAACCTTAGAATATATAAAATAACAAAACTTCCAATTGCTTGAAGTTTCAATTAATTTGAAACCATATTAGAAACCACAGAACCCACAAGCTATTAATTTAAAAATAACTATTGTTAATTCAGGCAAAACGCTGTAAGTTTCTAGGGCTGGAGAAATGGCTCAGTAATTAAGAGCACTGGATGCTGTTCCAAGGACAATTCCCAGAACCCACATGGCAGCTCACAATCACCTCTAATTCAGTTCCAGGGGATCATCTGCCCTCCTCTGGCATCCATGTACAGCAGGTCACACACTTGTTACACAGAGATGCATGTAGACCAAACACCCAAACACATCAATATATGTTTTAAGTCTAGAAAAGGGAAGTTCTTTTAATAGATGTTACCAAAAGGCTCTTCTCTACTATGAAATATCCTATAAAACACTGTTTTCTAATATTACACATTAGGCCACAGTTTTCCATACATGATTTAATACCTATGGCCTAAGCAACAGCTTCAGACAGAGGAAACAGAAACTGATGAGTAAGCATAAACACTCTACCATTCTTGGTTTGGCAGCTATAATTACTACATTTGAAAACACTCTGAAAATTATATTAAAAAGAAAAGCCTAGAAATAAACAATTCATTGAACTTTGTCATCAGCATGGGAGTACAGAACAAAGAGCATACATAAGGATGAATAAACCTACAGTTTCTCAGAACCTAGTTCCCAAAGGTAAGTTGGGAGGACATCCATATATTTAGTTCAAATAACTAATATTCAACCATAAACTATATTAGAATTTCTTTCCTTCACAAGCTTCAAGCCATAAGAATATGTGAAAATGACCAAAGGGACAGCTGAGCAGAAAATATGCTTGCTGCCATCAATGTAGGGGCATGTCTGAGTTTGAGTCCCAGAACCCACACAAAGGTGGAAAGAGACCCAGTTACACAAAGTTCTCCTCTAACTTCCATGTGTATACTGTGACACACACACCCTCACACATACCCAAACACAATAAATAAACAAGGCAAATTTAAAATGAATGCCCAAAAAGGCAAACCACTAGATCAAAAAGACAGTACTAAAGTAATGTAGGGGTTAGGGTAAAATAAGACTAACAAAATAGCATCCTTTGGGTTCATTATGAAGCAAAGCTTAATATCTAAACAAGTTGTATTGAAGAAAACCACTGATTTTTTATATGTCTATACAGCCTCTCAGCTGTGTAAATAAAATAGTTAAAAGCAAAGAGAAAAACAGGCAGGCAATAATTTGAGGATAACTTCATTAGTCAACATGACTGAACTTGTACAAGCATTTAAAATTTGGTTTATAAGAGGATACACCTGACATGCTAAGCAATGGCCTGTTCTTTTTTGAGAATTGATTAAACAATCATAAAAAGAGCTCTAGTTAAAAATTGAAAAATGGTTAAATATTAAAAGTACTTCTCACAGAAAATATTAATAAAAAGGAAGCCCTGAAACATTTATCTATTTATTGCACAGGAGCATTATAAAAGGACAGACTATTAATTCACATGTACCTGCTCCTAGATACCAAGTAACTGTTTTCCCTTCACAATAAATCTGAAAAGATCCCTACCCCAACTTGTCATTTATTTTTCAAGTAACTACAAGATGACTTTCACTCATTTTACCCTTCAGACCTGTTCTTCAACCTACCCTTCAGTAGCTTTTCTCTCTCTTCCCACCATATAAATGTGATGATCCTAGACTTCTGCATTTAACCTCAATTATTTTAATGTTTTCTGTTTTTCCTGATCAATCCAATCAATAAATTGGTATTTCAAACAGCTAAGGGCTTTGCTTACCAAATCTGCAACCCTGGTTCTAATTACTCTTAGCCTCCAACTCGATCACAAATACAAACTGAACACCACTACCTCCAATTCAACATATCCAAAACTAAACTCAGTAAGAGGTTCCTAAAACAGGCCCCCAACAAAGGCCAAGGACAGCAGAGACATGCAGAAGCCAGCTTTGGGAGGAGGTCAATACCGTTGCTAAAATCTGGCTGGTATAAGGAATACCAGGCACAGAAGTTTTATTCCACACCATGAAGCTGTCTTCAACTGGAAATACAACTAACTTGAACTCTTAGGTATGTACAAAGACAGCCTCAAATTTACAGTGACTGAACTAGTGGTCAGAGTGAACAGTGTGACAGTGAGTAGGAGGAAAGCCAACCCTACAGGTCTCTTTGTGCATAACAAGTGCTGCTGCCACACAGAATACCTGGTCCTGATGACTGCATAGTATACAACTGGTACATAGGACACGGTCATAGCAAAATAATGTATGGTTGTACATGTGCCCAATTAGTAAAGGGGTGGGTTAATTTCAAAGTTAACAGGAAGAAAAAATTATTATCTTGCTGTGAAATAATCCTTCTGTATACTGGGAAAATGTATTGCTCTCATTGTTAATAAAGCTGATTGGCCAATAGCTAGGCAGGATTTGGGGGGTAGAGAGAATGCAGAGAGGAAGAAGGGAGGAATCAGAGGAGTCTCCATGAAGACATGGAGAGGAAAGAGGAGGTGCAAGATGAAAGATGAGAGGTCATGCCATATGGCAGAATGTAGATGAACAGAAATGGGTTAATTTAAGTTGTAAGAGCTAGTTAGTAATAAGTCTGAGCTATTGGCCAAGCATTTATAATTAATAATAAGTGTCTTGTGGTTATTTGGGAGCAACTGCCAAGACACAGAGGAACTCCACCTACAGAATCTTAGTAACCTTTCCTGACATGTTTTTTACTACTATTAAAACTAGAGAATATACATATTTTCCCTTTTACTTTTTCTTAGAGCTAAAATATTTAACCTTTCAAAGTATTCCAAATACAAGTGAAATGTAGGTTTGCCTTGTACTGATAAAAAGCTAGGCAATGTTTCATGTAATGGGATTTAAAACCCAAAGGAAGATAATTAAATGTTCCCCACAAAAGAAACTTTCTACGAGAAGTAATGCCACCAAGATGGTAAAGTGGGGATCTGCAGAGCTTCCTTTCTCAATTCATGAACCAATTCCCAGTGTGAGCCATCGAGGCACCGGACAAGAGGCTCCTAACCCAAAGGCAAGGGTGCAGGCACATCATTAAAGCAGGTAGAAGGGGACATCTGTACCATTTTCTTACATAATTCCTCCTCCCAACAGAACTCCATGTGATGGCAGATGGGATCTCCAGCTCCCAGCTTCACCCAGGGTGAGGAGGAATGAGAAAGGCTGCACACCACCCTACTGATTTCCCAGGTGCCACCTGGAAGATTTGATTTTGATTTGATTCCAGTCTCACCTGAATCTGAGCTCTTAAAGAGTGTCAGGTTGGGAACTGGTAGAACACACACAGCATGGACTCATGCAGTCAGTAGTCAGGGCATCCCATTAGCTCAGCACAGAATAACTAATTCATCCAAACTCTGTTTCTCTCAGGGAAGGAAAGAGCTGGGACACACACCTAACACTCTGGTCTTGTAGATGGATGCCCAAGGATGATGTAGGCACTGACAAGACCAGAATTCTCCAGATGACTGGGCTACTAAGAACAAAGGCTATTGCCTTAGATTGGTATGCATTCAAAGACAGAATCACTTTCTCTGGTTCAAGACTCCACTGGAAGGGAAAGAGAAGAAAAGAATATGTCTGATCTTCAAACCTTTTCAGGAGCTTCTCAAGGGACTTGTTTAACCTGTTGTGATGTTTTGACGGGGTCAAGTAGAACCTAGCTGCACAAGGGAAGACAAAAGAAAAAGACAGAGTTGGGCCACGGTGCTATTGCTCCAGAGGACCCAGAGCTGGGCCCTGGTGCTAGGGCTCCAGAGGACCCAGAGTACAGGAGCAGCACCAGTGCAAATGAGAGGTTCCAAGCTCATGAGAATAAGAAAAACCAAGGAAATAATCCTCAGGAGTTGGCACATAAAAGGCAGAGGGCACACCCACAGAAAAGGTTTGCAAAGGCCCCAGAATCTCTGCTCCAGGCAATTCTTAAAGGTCTCCCATTGTACAAAGAAAGTCCAGAGACTGGAGTGAGGATTGTTTTCCAAATACATAGAAACCAACACAAAGTGTTAAGGATTGTGTATGATGGCCCAGACAAAGGAAGAAATCAATCTCCTGAAACGAGCACTAAAGAAACAGAAGTCTAAGAATGACCTGCAGCCAGTATGGTGCCTCATACCTGTTAATCCCAGCACCCCGTAGGCAGAGGCAAGAGGATTATCTTGAGTTTGAGGCTAGCCTAGACTACAAAATGAGTTCTAGGTCAGCTTGATTTATGGAATGAGATTCAAAAAAAATCTGTCAAAAATACATAATAAGTATCACCAAAATGGTCAACAGGCTTGGAAAATTTGAGCATGAAAATTTAAATAACTGGATGTGAAATATTTTAAAGAAAAAACAAAAATGGGGACTAAAGAATATAATAACTGAACTAAAAACTGAACTAGAGAGAGGGCTGGATAGCTCATAGATAGCTCAGCAGTTAAAAGCACTAGCTGCTCCATCACAAGGACTCGCATTTGTATCCCATCACTCACACAATGAGCCAAAGGTCCCACAAACACCCCTCAACTCCAGCTCCAAAAGATCCAACA